GAAATCCTTGACATGATTATATCTGTGCAACCACTGTACAGTCCCAGGAAAGTTTATTTATTTATTTTGCAACAGACTCTCACACAGTCTATCGTGATGTTCAAAGAAGAACCACAGCATCCCTTATGTGATTACCAGCATCATTTTATGCTGGCTCATTCACGCCGCCAGTCAAGTCTTCATCTGGATGTTTATCTTATCAGCCGAGATCAAAGAAAACACAAAAAAAGGATTTTTTTTTTCTGAAAGGTTCATGTCCAGAAAAAATAAATTCTTGATTTAGATGCAAAATGAGGTCTTGTGTCTACCTGTTCGCTCATTCTTCTACACATTTCCTGCAATACAGGTGTGAAATTGTCCTAAGCAATGTTGTGAAATCACCTAAAACCCTTATTATGTACGCATACACAACTCCAGACCTCACACGTTTCAACCCCGTACACTTAACTTCTCCCTGCCAGCTTTTACGCAAGTTAAAAAGAAAACATTTGCATCTTGGCACATGAGTGTGCAATGGCTCTTCTTCATTCCACTACAGTTGGTAATGTGATCCGTCCGTTATCAGCGTGATCATCACAAACGTCACAAGGAATGAAATGTGCCCAGATAGTCATGCTGGTTGCACAATTATCACTTCATTATCACTCCAATCTCATCACTCCATTAACAATGTATGGTTGTTTCAGTCTTATAAATATGCTATAACACAAAAGTCACATTACTTAGTAATGTGTAACAAAAAAAAAAAAACATGTTTCTGGAAAAGGTTATCTAATAAACACTCAGACATAACAACTAATGCAAAGTTTATGTTTATGGAAAGTTTGGATTCCAACTGAATAGAGTTAGATTTTTATCAAACTATCACACAAAAAAAGTTATATTTTTCCAAACATCTTTTGCAAGGCAGAACTAAAATATAAAGTTTAGCTCTTATAGGCAATTTTTATAGATAAGTCCATAAAAACAACAAAAATACAAGCACATAAATGTTGCTTGATGATCAATAAAGTTTGAGACTTGCATATAATTCAGGTACAACAATTAGTATCAGATCAGTTATCAAAGATTCATGTCAGATTACTGTACTAGACTCAATTCTCAATACCTGTTGTTGATCTGCTTTCTGCTATAATGCCCGCTGCAGCTCCTCGTATCCATTATTTAATCAAATTTGTGTGTACACTATTTGCAAAATGGTATTATAGATAGCAGTTAGGAGAAATATATTTCCTTTAACCAAAGCATTTTTCAAATGTAATAAAGTTGTTCAAAATGAAAGATTGTATTGGCTACTGCAGCTTCCTGTCTTTCTGTGTCACATAACCTACTTTCCACTCTGGAGCCCATAGATATATTTTGTCCATGTATGGGAAACAATAGTAATTTATATCTGATAGAGTTCAAAGAAAAGCATTCAGTACATGCAGTTTGGCTTGATTTTTCAATTAAATGATATTTAGCATCTATGTGATTAACAATCCAAAGTGAACATAACATTAACATAACATAAAAAGTTATCATTGGCATAAACTGCAAGGATTTTTGTTTCTTTTTTAAAAAATTAGAATAGTTTTAATATAGAAGTCCATTTTGGTCTGGGTCCCTCTTGGACCAGCCATTACTTTCAACTTCCAGAGTCAACAAATTTGGATTTATACTAAATAAAGAGATCAAAATTATTAACTACTTCTATTAAAGCTACTGATTTTCCAGGCATTTACACAAAACTGGCTTTAAAGAAGCATCAGACCGGGACTAGGTGTTAGCAAAAACTGACACAGACTGATTAACAAAAAAAAAAAAAACAACAACCTCCTTATCAGGACATTGCTAACCACACCCATATGTGAAAACAACATAATGACTTCAGCTTCCTTTGTCTAAAGCTAAACTACAGGATTTCCTAATCTTTCTTAGGAGATGCATCATATAGAAGCTACACAATTTAAAATGGAAAAGCATTTAGAGTGCAAAACTCCTGCAATGAAATTCTAGCAAATTATCAATTTGTCTTAAGACGAAACAACTCAGAGTGTGGTATTTTTGTCAAAAAGAATCAAGTGGTTAACATATTTCAACACCTCATGGATACAAAAAAATGCACAAAAATCTGAAAAGTGTGTCACAACAGAGCCAGCAGAAGTGTAGTACCAGCATATCAGAGCAAAATCTCTAAAAAGATGTCAATGAGGTTAAGTAAACCACTTAGAAAGAATAAATACAGAGGCGTTTTATTATTTTGACATTTATTGGTACCAGCCTATGATAAACAACCATCAAGGGCAAATCCAGGTAATTGAGGACAAAAGCTTCAAAACAGAAGAGAGCTTTGGCTTCCTTTATAGACAGGCAGGAATTTATGATTAATTGTCTTCAACTGGTAGATTCTTGCCCCCTTTCCCCTTCTCGTCTTCAGTCTCTTTCTCAGTGTATCTTTGAATCTATCACTCCTCCATTCTTTCTATTTCATAAATACTAACACTAATGGTGCTGCAGTAGACATAGTAGACAGAGAAACAATAATTTAAACCAACTAAATTAATTTTCTTTTTTTTTGTTTGTTTGTTTTTACCAGAAAGGTAGTGAAAATATTTACTTTCTTTTTAGAAAAAGTCATTTATTTTCTTGGTAAGTAACAAATTAAAGGTTTCCAAAAGAACAAATGATAAGATTTTGACAGCTGACAGATATGGTTTTGACTGGTTTAATATAGCATGTGGAATGAATTAGAAAAAAGCCACCTTTGTAACATCAAGGAACGATAAGAACAAAATGGGTTTTGTGACATGTTTGGCACATTTTTGGCAGTCTAAATTAATATTAAATTCCACGTTTGCTAACTCAACACAACGATCACAAGGTCGTCTGTAATCTCAGTTAAACACGAGACACGCAGCTCTCGAAGAATCCAATCACACAACAGAAAAACCAACGCAGTAATTGCCAAGGACCCAGCGGTGACCCTGCGTCAGTTATATTAGAGACTTCAAAGAGCCGGAGCACGATGTTAAGAGATCCTAAAGGAGATGATAGGAAAAAGCAATCTTAGGTAATCTTTTCAAGCGTGCCCAATCTGATGAAGAGGAGATTCAGTCAAGTGTGAATATGTCTGGTCAGAAATACAACAGCTGCCCTTGTCTGTTGGAGTACTGTCAGAAAAGGACCTGACCTCAAGCGGATGGAAACTGAAATCTCAAGGTACTGGTGAATAAAAACCGAAGGAAAAAATGAATAAAGTTGTGTTGACGTTATGCATTTTCACTGTCCAGTAAATTTCTGGCCTAAATTAAACTGCTTAATGCAATATATTTAAAGCTGTATTGGTCAAAGAGGGATCTCCTGTTGCAAAAGCTACATCACCCTCTCCTGCCATTACAGCTTATGCTCATATCAGACCTTACTACATTGTAAAAAAAAACAAAACCTCCCAGATGTTCTCTGCAGCGTCACTGTGGTACAAGTGTTTTTATCTTTTGTAGACTAGGATATCAACTCCCGGGAGGTAATCATAGATTGATTAGGAATTGGTATTGCAATTCATATGCCTTTACATCACCAAGAGCTTGATAGTCGTGCATTGAACTATTTTTGGTGATAGGTTTTCGTTGTAGATTGAGAATGCAGTCAGGGATGGAAAGACTGGGATGTCTTGCACAAGTAAATCGTTACCAATCATTAAAAGGCCACAACTACGCTAATCAGATTTACTTAAACCTACAATTATGCTTGATCTACTCTCAGCAGACTGATAATTATTTTCAGAAGCCGGCATTTCTTCTGTGGTGGGCTGTTATAGCTAAAGCACAAGTGGAGTAAGGATTTTCTTCCTGCATGGAGCTAACTTTACAGGTGAAAAAGACACACTTGCAGACCTTTCAGTGACCCCTTCGAAATGTCATTCTTCAGCCCCGATTGTTTCGATTCCAGACATGTTGCTTGATGGGAAATAATCCACTATTCGAAGGAATAATCCAGTTTCCCTTTGGGTGCAGAAGAGCAATCTTAAGCCAAATATTAAACTTTGTCTGATTAAAAGTGCAACCACAAATAGTTCAACAATTAGTCATGTCTGGAAATGCCTGAGCATTGCAATCACATGTGTGATTGCTGTAACAAGCACAAAAGGAAGAATGTATCAACACTGCTAACTAATTCCTTTAAAAATTTATACAGCTCACTAAACTTCAACAAACCACTTTACGGGATCTGCTGCAATAACACTGTAAGTAGCTAATGTAATCAATCATACAGCAATACCGCCCAGAATAAGGTGGACTCAGAAACCTCCCATGTATACATAGGAAAATTCTGCGTATTGTGACAACCTTAAGGATTCCTTCAAATGACGACATGATACCTGTGATGGCAGCTTTATGTTAGAATTGGCAAGTGACATACTGGGAGTGCTGCTGCATCATGATTGCCATCACTCTGAAATTAGGTTTTTTGCAACATGGAAACTGTCACTGAGGTCGTAGGACTGTCTTCATCTGGAGTGAACGGGAGTCTTGCCAAAAGCAAATGACAAAAAAATGAATCCTCTAGTTCAAAGCAGTTCATAACCTGGTCTCCATTTCAAAATGTTTTAGAAACATGTTTCCCTGACTTTCTTTGTGCTTCCCACCTTCTTACCCAGATGCTGTTTGCCAGGATCTGACATTTTTCAGAAGTGGGATACATAACGTTCAACAATTTTTCAAACCCTCGGACGAAGACAAAAGATTTGGAAAAGGGACGTCTAAATACACATTCCACATTTTGTTTACCATAAGATTAATAGAAATGTAGTGCAGGTGCCCAAAATGTTTTCAAACAGCAGGGATTTTGCCTGAAGAGTAAAAACGAAATCACTTCTTTATAAAACTGCAAGTGAAACTAATGAAACCGCTAATTGGTGTAAACATTTCACAGATGCTACCGTTGAACACATCAAACAAAACGAAACGCAAAACTGTTTTTCATCATGTAATCAAATGAGACACTCCCTCTTCACTCACCTTGCTGTAGTACTTTGCCAAAGTATTTGTTGTGGCTTGTGCAATTCCACCTGCGGTACCTGAACTGGTACTGGCACTCTCTGACGCCCAGCCTCGCTCCTTTGGCCACCTCGCTGACGATTTCTGGTTGAGTCTGGCACAACTCGGCCTGCTTCCCTGCCAGGCGCTTCGCCTTCCTGCATATGCTGTTGGGGTCCATGACCAAGGGGCTTCCCACTGCCCTGCAAAAGTTGTAACCATGTTAGGAAAAAAAAAAAAAAACAAAAACGTGGATATCTGAGCAAGATATACAACAACATTCTCATAGTTCTTTTGAGATAGAAATCAATCAGTAGCCGCCACAAACCCACACTAATTAAGTTTTCTTTTTGTTTTTCCTCCAGAGCCTGTCAGCTCCATGCACCGCATCTCGGCTGTGGCTACAATGGAGCTCTTGAATGAGAACGTGGGAGACAACAGCACACAGTTTCCCAGAAGCATCTCTGCTTTGATATCAGATAATATTTTTTGCTGTTGGATTGCATGTGGAAGAACTGTGTGGTCCTTAGAAAGTTGCAAGTCACATAGTTGGACACCTCTCAACAGAAGGGCCGTATTAATGCTGCTTAAGTGGGTTCTGGTAAACCAGAAGGCAGGCATTTTAGATTTCCAGACGATAGAGAATTTTGAGTCGTTGTTCTGGCAGTTCGGAGCTCTACCACTTGAACCACACATATCCACTAACTCACCCCACTTTTAAAACGTTCGTAGATCAGGCCTTCTCAATCAAAAGTATACATACTTTATCACGGATGCAAAAAAAAAAAAAATCTCATGAAGCAAAAATAAATAGAGTTGACTTCATGTAGAGTAAATATTTGAAATGTTAACACATATATAGATTCATCATTGTATAAATACCACTCCAGACCTCCTAGAAAGCTATGACAGATGAGTGTATATAATATAGATAAATAGTTTATCCTAACTCTTAATGGGGAAAAGAGGCTTGGATTAAATATTTCAAAATACTGCCAGGATCTGGGGCATCATTTTTGGCATTAAAAAAAGGAGAATCCTGACTGCTTAGTGCATGCAAAACAACTTTTCTCACAGCATCTCATTTTACTTCATGTCACACAATTTTAATTCTTTAACCCGAGTAAGCATCATCAAAACCTTCATCACTAGAAGCAGGCAGGGGAAGAGAAAGTGAGGGTAAAAAATAGCTCTACCTCACAGTTTTTCATTCAGCCTTGTCCTTGTTAATCGCACCTCCTGATATCATTCATCTGCCTTGAGAGTTTGTTTTAAGAAGCAGAGCAAACACTCTCGCCAGTCCTCTCCCCTGGCGGTCTCATGCTCGGCGAGACGTGTGTACACGCAGACGCACACATGCACACAGTTGCACGTTTCCAACAAATAATACGACAAGCTGACATGTCAGGGGGATGACAGAATGAAAACACCTTCCGTAGAAAAGCTTGGGCTAGCCTTGTTTTCATGCAGTCATGTTGAGAAAAAAGCAGGCATGGAGATCGACTGATCAAATACACTCCCTTGCTGAAATATTCTTACCCCTTGAGATTGTTCATGTCTTGTCACATAATAACATTAGCCCCAGCGGATTTTATTTGAATGTTATGTAATAGAACAACAGAAAGTTGCACCTTATATATATATATATATATATATATATATATATATATATTTTTTTTTTTTTTTTTACAGATGGGGCTAAATATTGAGCAATCCTTTAATAAAAACCTGTTAGAGGCTGCATAGCACTTCAGAGTGAGGAGGAAGTTCACCTTCAAACCCCAATTAAACACCCAGAGCTATAGTGGAATGGTGTAAAACAACACATATTCATCTGCTACAATGACTCAGGCAAATCTCGAACCTTTATCAAACTGGGATTCTATGAATAGTTTGAAAATGAACACTCATGTGTACTCGTGTATCCAATTTGTCTGGAACTTCAGCTCTTTTGCAAAGAAGAATGTACAAAAATTCAGTCTACCAATGTACAAAGGTGAAACCAACAAAGTCCCAATGGACCTGCAGCTTTACTAACAGGAACAGTTTGTTCACTGTGATATAAGGTTTTTATTTACAACACTTTAAGTTACCACTTTGCAACAGAAAAAGAAGTGAATACGTTTGCAAGACACTGCACAGTAAAAACAATGTGACGGATAAAGTAAAAATGACTAATAGCAGACGACTTAGTAATCCTTATAGTTCAAACGTCCTGATTTTAGACTAAATATAATCAGCTAAACATATACTGTCTACACAGACAAGCCGCACACACCAGGAACACCCACCATTTCAATCCTCCTGGGTTTATTGAGTGTGTTGACAATATTTCTATGGAAACAGAACAATAGCGTTATCCTCATACAGGCAATTAAGTCACACAGACAGTCAGTGGGTGTTAATTAGCAGGTAGACCCACAATATTTAGCAACACACACTCCCTCTATAACCGCTTATTACTTAACAACTATTCTGAGCCTGTGCGCGCGTGCGTGTGTGTATGTGAGAGAGAGAGAGAGAGAGAGAGAGAGAGAGAGAGAAATAATAAGAAACAAACTCAGACAAAGGTAAAATTAATGTCAAGTGATTTTCCAGTAAAGTGTTTTGTTTGGCTTGTTTCTTTCAAGCTTGTGTTTATTTGCTGGAAGCAATGATTAAAGGCCGACTGTAGAACATCAACATTTTACAGTGGGAGGTGTATTAGCTGTGAAAGTAGTGAAATTGCTGTATAGTTTTCTATTTTCATTCCTCAACAGCTCTGCTCTAAAACTGGAGTGACATGTGATTTCTCACTGTAAGTTCCTTTCACACTTCACCTCACATCAAAAAGTGTTTTTCACATTTCATAACACATCATGTGATCAGGTAAAGTGAAATGCTAAACTCATCCTGATGGCTATCTTCAGTTAAAAATATGTGATGAATTCAAGAAAGAGTAAGTCCAGCATGCATAATCCAAACAACCAAGGTGCCACTTTCTTCTAAATAGAAACCAGACAAAACAAGCACTACAACTGAGAGTTTAGGTTTTCCTAAACAGTATACTTATTGTTTTTGGTGGATTGTTGGTCAAAAAGCAGTTTGTTCAGTTAGCAATACATTTAAACCCATCAGAACTCAAGAGTCCAAAATGGAAACTTCAGACGATGAGATGATGTTTTAACCTATAGCAAAAAAATGAGATGTCTTGTTTTAGTCACACCACTGGCATGTGGCCAGTGATAAAAGTGTTCAAACTTTATATTATCTTAAATAATATCTATATATGGTGGTGCAGTTGGTTGTCCTGTTGCCTTGCAGCAGGAAGGTTGTGGGTTCAAATCTTTCTGCAAGGAATTTGCATGTTCTCCCTGCATGTTCTCTTCAGATATTCTGACCTCCACAGTCCAACAACATGACTATTAGGTTAGTTGCTCTCTCCATATCACCCTTAGGTGTGTGTGCATGCATGATTGTTAGTCCTGTGATGTACTGCCGACCTGTCCAGGGTGTCCGTCTGCTCGATAACCCCCCCCAAGAAAGGCACCAGTTCCCCCACTAACCTCACAAGACAAGCGGGTGGATTAGATGTCAATTCAAGCTGTCATCTATGAGATGCAACATCTGTTCACCACAGTGACTTTACCTTTGACTTCAGTAAATAAATACCTCAGGTGAACAAACTGAATGTCGTATTGCCATGCAAAGTGTGCATTTATGAAAATTGGAAATAACAACCCACAATTACTCTAACCAGTCACTTGCAATCATATTAATGTGGTCACTGTGATAATAATGACATATACCACAGTCTTATTCTGTATTAAAAACTCAACATTCTGCATCAGCATCTATTTTTAAGCATGAAATGACATTGTCACACATACAAAGGTGATCATGTAGTTAGTCAGACAATGACACATTTAGACATGCATGTGGAATTAACAGTTTATGCATGTTTAATTTCAGATTTTCCAATAACCACGGTGGGACAGACTGAGAGCGGATGTAGCGCGGGGGCCATAAAATTCCCCCGTCTGCCTTGGGATAAAGGTTTCTGCCACATTTCCGCTGGATACTGGGTGTGCATACCACACACATTGGACTTCCTTAGAAGTTTGGGCGCATAATGGGCATGATGAGAATTGAAGAGCTGGATTGCTGTGGTGAACTCAGGTGGAAAAGTACACCACTGGAAAAAAAAGACCAAAAAGAAGGTGATTGGATAGGATGATGGGATCAACTTCCTGTAAATTCTCGAGCCTTTTGTGCCCTTGTTTGGAGAGAAAAACATTCAAGTGTTCCACCTTAAAAGGTATAGTGTGGCGATACAGTATTTAAGGCTGCAACAAGCAGATATTGTGATTGAAAAGAAGAGCAGTTAAAAAATTTATATATAATCCCAGTAAGCAAAAATGTATACATGTAAGTCTCTACTTTAGCTACTGAATTGTTATGTGGCTGTTTTCAAATGTAAAAATGAGAAAACTGTTGAGTTCAGTGGACCAGAGTAATATGTTCACTTTCTGCTTGGCAGTAATCTGATCCTCTCTCACATACTCTCTCGGTCATTTGGAATACAGCTACTGAGCAGATAACCAAAGGAGGATGTTCTGTGGTTGATAATATCATCGGTTTGAGGAAACAGTGTCTCGCATGAACAGTTTTTTGTGATGATAAAGACTCAGTAGAGGAACTGCATAGCAGTAAGAGATAAAACAAGCTGGAGAATCAAACAGACTCAAATCACCGATGGCATTTTGCAGTCCTCTAGAACAAGATCTAAAGCTGGCATTGCCTACATCAGACTAAGGTGCTTTGCGTTGGGCTGTAATTATTTGCATGCCATGGAAGATATCTTAAATTAATTAACATATCATGTTTAATTGTAGCCTTGACTATAGGCTTAGGACAACATCAATAGGTTTAGCCTTTCAATAACGATCTGTAAAATTAGAAAGGTAAATGAGGTTTCAAATACAGATACAGATTAAGAAATGGATACCCTATTAATAATTTTCAGGCTCCAGTTAGGGGTCACAAAGAGATTAAACCACAGCATTCGCATTATCTTGGGTTTCATTAAAGATATCAGGGCACTGTAGTCATTGAGCTGTACTGTATGAGGTCCTTCTTTTTTCACGCACAAACGAGTGAGTTTCATCCCTCCTTAATCCCTCAGATATGCCGGAGATGAAGATAGTCATGACAAATGTGTGTC